ATTTTTTTAAAGTAAACATCTTTTTAAGTAGTTGAGAGAGGCCACATTCCTTAGTTAGGGGTTCTATTATTGCAACAAAACACCATAACAAAAAGCAAGTTGGAGAGAAAAGGGTTTATTAGGCTTACACTTAAGCATGGCTGTTCATCATTGAAGGAAGTCAGGACAGGAGCTCAAACAGGGTAGGATCCCAGAGGCAGGAGTTAATGCAGAGGCCATGGAGGAGAGCTGCTTACTGGCTTGCTCCTCATGGCTTGCTCAACCTACCTTATTACAGAACCTAGGACCACCAACTTAGGGATGGCATCACCTACCATGGGCTAGGCCCTCTCCCGTTGATCACTAAATGAGAAAATGCCTTATGGCTGGATCTCAAGGAGACACACAAAACCTCCAGTACACCATATTAACTACTTTTTAACAGAGAAAAGAAAAGGTTAAATTCTAGAAATCTATAGTACTATCTGATGTAAAGTTGCTACGTTTTGATTGCCAGTGGTCTTGTACCAAGTCTGCCCTGGCTTGCCCGGCCTTTTGCATTCTCAAGTCCTTCAAGGTGCTTGGCCTTGTAAGCTGGGTGGGGTAGCAACCACAAATGCACTGTCTCAAAGTCTGAACTCAGCTACAGACCTCAGCCCTCCCACTAATTGCTGGCCAGGCCTGCGTGAACAAGAAGTCAGAGACGAGGTCAAGAGCTCTGACCTGCCACACCCCAGCAATCTGATCCGGATTCTGCCATGTTCAGCAGCATCAAGCGCTTGTACTTTGTCTCAATTGACTCGGCATACCATAGACTTCTTCACTTCATGAGAATTTCAGATTTAATGCTTAGAACTTCATCTTGTTTAATTTGCACGACTATCAGTTTCCGGTGACAATGGCTATTGACCTTAACTTCAACATCACTTAGAACAAACTAATAGCCCTACATCTCTCGGCATATGACAATCAAAGCAGTACCTTCCATTATGAACAAGCTTCATAAATCCTTATCTGCAAAGGACAATTCCATTCCTCTCCCTCCTTTTGGACTTTAAAAGCTGTAAATATATTAACCAAACCAGACCTTTGTCCTCTAAGTTTAAGACCGATTTAGAGAGGAAGCTTGTTTATTGTGTCTGTACCCAAAAGAAACTCTACAAAATTCACAGGCAAACAGCTCCCAGCGACTCCCTTCGCCAGCTGTCAGTGGCCACACCGGGAACTCTGTTGAGAGGCATACTCACTGACAGTAAATCACAGTAAAAACAATCACCAACAGTAATAAATTGCCACCCTTCGCATGCTCAAACAACACAGTAAGTAGTACTACTCTTTCTCAACATAGCAGGCCTCTCAACACAGCACAACTTGGCCTGACAAGCCCTGTTCTTGACTGTAGAAACATCCATCTCTACAAAATAGCCACATCTGGTGGTAGAGACCTTATTCTTCTCTTAGCCTCTGCCATCTTTCAACACTCTCTATTAGAACATTAGCCGTAGTATTAAATAGTCTAAGATTGTAAACTACCCACTAAATGTCAGCATTGATAAGTCCCAGCACACTAATAAATGCTGTTCCAAAACTGATTTGAGTTACTGAGAAAGGATAATTTTCAATTAATTTTAATTTTAATGTGAGGAGAGCTGCAGATTCAAATGCAGTTCTAAGAAATGAGCAAAAGACCTTTCATACCCTTTACTCTTTTGCTCCCAGGGGAAATACCTTGCAGGACAACATCCCACCCAGAATGCTGATACTGATCCAGTCAAGACACAGGACGTTCTAATGTAAGTATCTTTTGTGTTGGAAGCCTTGGTTCTTAAGGTAAAAACAACTTAAGCAACCCGAATACAGGAAAGTCCACTGTGGGGAGACAAAGATGAAAAAGCAGTTTGAAAGGTTTCTTCCATTAAAGAATTCAAAATTCTAAGATACTGAAAACTACTGTGGTTTCCATAGGGAGGGAAATCCCTTAATTCTCTAAAGGCAGTCCTCTAAGGCAGCCCCAAGTAACTATGTTCCTTCTCACACAGAACTAAAGAAGCTAAAGACAGTGCTGTGTCCTTTGATCTGCCACACACTTTTGATTTATTAAGGATTTAGGGTAGAGGAAAGTACCTAAATAGAATCTATGAAATCCACCACCATCCCAACTCAACACTGTCAATTGCATACTGTGCCCACTTACCATGGTGATCTGAAGGTGTCCCTACAGCCCTGTGGTGATGATTGAGGAGCAGTCATTTCTAGCCAAGCCTTATCACTGGGCCCGGAAATAACTCCACCTGAGGATTAGAAACATTCTTCTCTTAAAGCAACACACATAATTTTTAATCTTTCAGTTCTCACATGACAATGTTGCCGTAATGGGACTGAACAGGCTGTGTTATAGTTTATGCCAACTACAGCTTAGTCTACTACAGTAGTGACAGCTTACCTGCAACTGCTTCTAAACTAGATGCACGTTGACTATAATACATTAGTGTGTGTGTGTGTGTGTGCGCGTGCACATGCACATGTGTATTTGTGTGGGTGTGGATGCACATTCATGTGTATGTACATGTGTGGAGGCCAGAGGACAGCCTCGGGTGTTGGTCTTCAGGAGCCATCCATCTTGGTTGTGTTACCGGGACTCTTATAAAAGAAAACATTTAACTGGGGCTGGTTTACAGTTTCAGAGGTTCAGTCCATTATCACGGAGGGAGGAATGGTGGCACCCAGGCAGACATGGTGCTAGAGAAGTAGCCAAGAATTCTACATCCAGATCCACAGGCAACAGAAGAGAAAAACTCTGGGCTTGGAAGGGGCTTTTTGAAACCTCAAAGCCCATCCTCAGTGGCATACTTCCTCCAATAAGACTGTACCTCCTAATCCTCTCACATAGTGCCACTCCCTGGTGACCAAGTACTCCAATCTATATGGGGGTCATTTTTATTCAAACCACCACCCTGGTATATCAAGTTCAACATTGGGGGCAACTCGAGCTCTCACGCTTTTGCAGTAAGCGCTTTGCTCATTATCTTCCCAGCCCTCACAAATGTCTTCCTAAATTTTTCCTCTAATATTAAGAATTGAGTCAACATTGATGGGGAAAATGAGAGCATTTGAGTAAGGTAAGAAGGAGTCCATTTAACCTGGAGCTGGAGTTACAGACAGCTGTGAGCTGTCCAATGTGGTTACTAAGATCCAAACTTGTATCTTCTACAAGATCATCCAATACTTTTAACTGATGAGCCATCCCTCCATCCCTGGTTTAGTTTTTTTGCTTTTTCTGATACAATATTTTTATTGATTGTTTGGAAGTTTCACATAATGCACCCTGATCACACTCACTTCACAGTCTTCCCAAGCCCACACCCACCCCACCTTTGGGGTTTCCCCCAAAGAAAAGAAAGAAAGAAAGAAAATGCCATTTTCTTGAAGGGGCTGGTTTTAATTTTGAGACAAAGTTGGGAAGGAAAGGGTTTATTTTATGCTTCCACATCACAGTTCATCAGCAAAGGAAGTCGGGACAGGAACTCAAGACAGGCATGAACCTAGAGGCAGAAGCTCAATAGAGGCTATGGGGGGAGGGTGCTGCTGCTTACTAGCTTGCTCCTCATATCTTGCTAAGCCTGATTTGTTATAAAAACCCAGGACCACCAGCCATGAGATAGCACCACCCTCAACGAGCAGGACCTGCCCTCATCAATCGCCAATTAAGAAAAGGCTCTACAGGCTTGCCTACAGCCCGATATTACAGCAGCATATTTTTAGTGGAGTTTCTCTCCTCACAGGTGACTATTGCTTGTGTTAAGTTGACATAAACCTAGCCAGCACAGTTCTACAGCTCATGTTTTTATTTAAAATTAAAATGTTTAATCTTATTACATGCTTTTTTGTTTTGTTTTGTTTTGTTTCAAGATAAGGTTTCTCTGTGTGGATCTGGCTCCATTGGAGCTCACTCTGTAGACCAGGCAGGCTATAAACTCACAGAGATCCACCTGCCTCTGCCTCCTGGGTGCTGGAATTAAAGGCACATGACACCATCACCTGTCATACCTTTTATTTTTAATTATTTCTTTTATTTTTTGAGATTATAATTGCATCACTTACCTCCTTTTCTTCCCTCCCTCCTAGCCTTCTCTTATACATCTTCTCGCTCTCTTTCAAATTTGTGGTCTCTTTTTTTCATTAATTATTGCTACATACATATACATATATACCTATATGTTCCTAAATACATAAATACAGCATGCTCAGTCTGTATGGTATTACTTGTATATGTTTTCAGGGCTGACTGCTTGGTATTGGTGTGTTCTTTCCTATTTCTTTATAGGCTGAAGATAGTCTTTCCAGTCAATGAGTTGTATTTAGATATCTCCCAATCACTCATTTGGATTGCCTTTAATTTTTCTATTATGTACAAAGCCATTAACATCTTCCTGCACATATGGCGTTATTTTTTAGGATAACCTCCCACAAAAATAAGAGACCACATGTAAGGCTGTTATCGATATTTAAAATAAAGAACTTTTTATTTTCCAGTCTTCATAAAATAACCTGAGAACTGTCCTTTTGTTCCGTGCCGCACATTTTCAGTTTTGCCAGCAGAGGAAGCACTGGAAGACAGGAGGACTAGCTATACGACACTGGTTTATCTATCTGGCGGCATAACTGAGAACACAGGTATTGCTTTTGGCAAGTGGGCATATATCCCAGAAGAATAATTTAGTCTTTATATGCCCACTGCACCTTGCTTTCCTTTCAACATATCAAACGCTAAGCAACATCAAATGGTAAACAGCTTTCTATTCCTTTTTCTGGCCTGCAGCAAACGTGAATAAAGACTGACTTTGGGAGATTCAGGAAACCCCTAACTTTCACCCTGCTGATGCTAATTTCTCTCGCCTTTCACCTCAGGCTTCCTGGAGTGTGCTGTGAGGTCCTAGGCACTGGGGCGGGACTCCACATATCCTAGCAACCGCTACCCGCTCTCTGATTGGCTGACCGCTGGGCCGCCGCCATTTTCAAATCCCCGGATGATGGCGGTACCAGCTTTCTGCTAGAAGGCAACATCCTGCCTCGCAGAAGCTGGCGGGCACCGTGCCCGCCACGGTCGGTCTCCCGGGCACTGGGCCACCGCCCCACCCCCTGTCCTCGGACATGGAGCCAGAGCCAGCGGCTCAGAAGCAGCCCCGGCCGCGGAGGAGAAGCCGCAGGGCCTCAGTGCTCTGCGAGGACCGAGCCGCAGGGCCTCCGACCGACACACCCGGGCCGGCGGCGGACGGGAGGTGAGTGTGCAGGAAGTGGCTGGGGAGAGCCAGAGATGGATCCCGGTGACCGGGAAGTGGGTGGATGGGGAGCACCAAGCGTGGAATCCAGAGACTCGGAAAGGGGTGGATGCTCCTGGAGAAGAGGGAGCTCACCGCGCGCTGGGAATGGAGCAGGGAGGTAGGCAGGGAGGTAGGAGCACGGAGGGAGGCAGGCCGGGCAGAAATGCGGGAACCCACGGGAGGAGAGTGTGCTGCTTGCTGGCCAGGCCGGAGGCACCGAGGACTCACCAGCCCTGAGCTGAGGCCCCAAACAGCGACTGCTCGGCCCTGCTTAGAAGGGGCGAACCCATTGGACTTGTTGACAGTCTCCTTTAACCCCTTCCTGGGGAGCCGTACTTTTCTGTACAAGAGCTGTCCCCTATGCGACTCTAGCAGACCCAGACTGTCACGGAGCCTGTGGTAAGGGGAGTGATTGTCACCTAAACAGGCACCAGCCCTTTAAGCCTAAAAGCGGCTGTTTGAAATGAAATGGGTTTTTTTCCAGACCAGAATAGGCCAGGCATGAAGAGATCAGAGAAAGACACTCTCTGACTTTTCGATTATTAGCACATTTTATATTCTGTGTCTTCATTTCTGTATGTCTGGAAAAGGTGGACGTTAGATTGATTTTAGAAACCTGCATCTGGAAGAGAGGCCATGGAAATCACAATGTTATTATCAAATAGGAAATCGGAATGGCATTTGTCTGTGCTGCTCTGCAATGCTTTTGACCCGTGATATATGAAATTGTTTTAAATTACTGAATATAGTGTTTCCCATCCTAATCCTATCCTAATGAGGGACTCGGATGAAGTGTCAGGTCCCATCACTTTGTATGAGCTCGGTGCCTGTGCACTGAGGATACCATAGTTTCTGCTTCACATAGGCATTGGTGGACCTCAGTGCTTAGCATAGCCCTGCACGAAGAACGCTCCACACAAATCTTGTCTGTCAGTTTTTATCTTTGAAGGAGACCATCCGGTATCTGCTCCATCTTTTCAGAAGCCCACGTCCCACTTGCCGCGGTTTTAGGTTTGGTGGTGATGGCTTTGTTTCTGAGGCAGGTTCTCATTGTGTAACTTGATCATCCCAGAACTCCGTGTGTGAGGAAGCTGAGCAGAAACTCACACCGTCATTCTGCACCGGAGCTGTTCTCTACTAAAACTAGCAGGCTGCAGGGGCTCAGATCAAACCTCGGGGTAACAGTGCTGAGGAGGAGAATTGTTACCTGAGCAGGCAGCAAACCTTTCTGCCTAAAAGCTTTCTTCCTTGGCCTCCCCCAGTGCTAGGATTACAGTGTATGCCACCACACCCAGATCACTTGTTATGATTTTAAACTTTTATATAACTTTCTGTCCAGTTATGCCATATGGTTTTGAGGAATATCTTACTTTCATTACCAATGCATGGGTAAACCCAGTGTGTTAAGTAACTCCGTAAAGAGCTAGATTCTTTCACTTGGTGCAGATTTTTATTAGTTTGAAGTTTAAGGTAATAATTTACCTGAATTGTGACCTTCTGAATCGTCCTCTCATCCTGTGTTTAAGAAGAAGTCAGCGTGCAGAAGGAAGTCATCCTTAAGACTGAGAGTTAGGAAAATCAGGAAAGACTAGTTAAAGGGGGGAAAAAGAGGAGAGATTCCAAAAGATGGATGGAGGCAGTTCTGCACTCATTCAGTGATACTGTTGCACCTGCCAGACAAAGACACTGTTGTAGATAGTGAGGACTCTAGAACACAAATAGCTAGCTGGAGCTCTTGCTCTTGGGAAGCTGGGATTCTCTTGGGGAGGGTTGGTCACATGAAGTGAATGAAAGCCTCGTGAGAGGCATAGAGATCATTACTATTTTTCGGAGATCACAGGGAAAGTTTCTTGATAATGCAGTTGGAGAGAAGGGAGGGATGGAGATGTGGGAATTTGGAAAAAACTTCTCTGAGCATAGAGGAGCAGCAAGTGCTCATCTGGGAAGAAGAATTCTGGGTATCTCAGGGAACTTCAAAATGGGCGAAGAGGGTGAAGTAAAGCAAGTGGGGCATGTGGGAAATGGAGTGACAGAGGTGATCTTATAGTAGTTAGTGCCTGGTGGACAGTCATTGTCGGACCTCCAGATCCAGACCAAGGAGCTGGCTCAGCAGCTAAAGGCATGTTCTGACAAGGCTGACCTGAGTTCGAGCTTCAGGACCCACACAGTGGAAAGAGAGAGTCCACCTCCACGTTGTTCTCTGGCCTGTACACACATACATACATAAATGAAAAAATATTTTTAAGAATTTCAAGTTTAATTTAGCAAATTAGGAAGGAAGTTAGAGGAAATGGTATAGACACATGCTTGTGTGTATGGTATATGTTGCTAGTGACTGTGCATACAGGTATTTGTACTCAACAGTACATTAGAGAATGTTTATCCAATCGTATTTTTAAGAGTGTTAAGTTGGTTGAGTGTATTAAATTCTTTTATACATTTTTCAGCTTTTTGAGTTTGGTTTTTTTGTTCATTCACTTGTTTTGAAGCCAAACCTCCCCAGACTGGCCTGGGACTTAATATGTAGTCAAGGCTAGCCTTGAACTCCTGAACCTCCTGCCTCTACCTCAAGAGTGCTGGGGTTACCAGTGTGTGCCACTGTGATTAGCTACTTTCAGCCCTTTCAAATAAGAATTTGTCAGGCTTTAACCCCTTCTTACTCTATATAGAATATAGAGCTGAGAATAGTTTGCAGTGGGTTGAAAAAAAATGTGGTGTGATTTATTCAGAAAATAAATGAATGTCAGATACAAAGAATTAGAGATGGGAAGTAATCTAGTAGGAACAAATAAGTAAGTTAAATAGTATTTGGTAAGAGCTTCTAGTGATAGACAGTGGCGTAGATGCAAATAAAAGGAATACTCCATCCTGGCTAGAGAAGACGGGAAATAACTCCCTGTTGCAATCCCTGAGTCCAGGAGGATTGTTGGTTTGTGTATCCGCGCAAAATAAATGCAATGCAGATATCAAAGAATATTTACCACTTTAATGATAAACTTACAGAACCAGAGTTCCAGCGTAGTATAGGAGGTAGGGAGGGAAAAAAGGGTCGAGCCGCTGAGCTGCACGCCCATTTATTGGCAGGCATACGCCCGAGGCAAACCCCGCCCCCTAAAGGGGCTGTCTTAACCCTACATCTCCCCCTTTTGTCTAAATAAGGCAGAACTAAACCAAATATAACTATAAACAATAATAACAAATGATAAATATAACAAACAATATTGAGAACAAAAGTTTTGCTAGAGAGTAACTACAATTAAATAATCTTCAACTCCATCAAAGATCTGAGAAGGGAGTAAATATTACTTAACAAATGAGAGATATCCAAAATTTGCAACAAATGACAGAGACAACTGACTACCTGGGCAATCACCCAAAATCTCGTTTGCAATGTTGAGTCAACCAACTTTGGCTAAGGCCTAACATAACTGACATACCATTATCAAATGCAAGGAACTTTCTTAGAATTATCCTACCCTGTCTTGGCAAGATAAGACAATTCTGTTTCATATTTTAGTCAGTAGTTGAGGTATGGGCTTTTCTTAACCCAAAGGCCAGTTCTGCCAAGAAGACAAGCTCCCAGTGGAGTGTCTTTGGTGCTCAACGTTCTCTCGGGAGTAGAGTGGTGTTGCCAGGAGTCATTGTGTCTCATTGGCACAGAATTCTAGGTTAGATTAAAGGCCATTTTCTACAGCTCTTCAAAGAGACTGAAGATTATACTATTTATACTAAAAAGAATCTCTATGTATTTAAAAGATCTGATTATCCTAAAAATAAATATGACAAACATATAATTCTCAATACCTATCTAATTTGAAACTAAGAGAATAAACAACTGTGCAATATATGAAGGCAATGATCTTCACCTGTAAACAATGTCATTACTTATCGAATGTAAACAATGTTATTACATAAATAGTACCAGAGGTAGAAATGTACATTGTGATATGATAGATGTATCCATACAATATAAGCATACTCTTATACAAAAGTAGAGGTAGGAACACTCACATTCAATATTCAATATATCAAAATACAAGAAACAGTACCAATATAATTTTCTAAAAACAGTAAGTCACAAATACCAATCATCCCATCAAACCAGTTAATCCCCCTCTTTTTTTTTTGAATATACCCCTAATTCCATACAATATCTCCCCATCCCCTCAACCCTAAACCAATCACTAAAAGATGTCCCTAACCCTGTGGGCAAACTCTGTTGGGAGAGGGGACGTCGTCCTCTTAGATTGCTTCTAGCTGACATGGGGGCGACGTTCTTCTTAGGGCCCCCTGTGAAAGCAAATGATGGTAAAATTCCCAAATTAACCTTTGACTTAAGAAAATTATAACTAGTCTCTGAGTGTTTTGAGAAGGTCCGGCCAGAGCGTTGTCAAAAATGTGCATCATACGAAATTGTCTCTTGCAGTTGGTACCAAAAAACAGGTCTAAAATTAGTGCTTAAAAAAAAAAAATTCATGATGTCATAAAAACCAGATTGAGTTGATGTTGTGGGGCCCCATCTTCATCCTGGAAACTTCAAAGATTACTGTAGGAAAATATGTTGCTTGTTATGGGAAATTTAAACATTAACAACAAGGACATATACCGACATATAAAGAAAGACAAAGATATGAGGAAAGGCAAAGAAAGCTTATCAAGTATCAAATTATTCTTATTCTGTCCCGTGTCATGGCTCCTGACCTGAGACAGAAACTCTGAAATATCCCTTATTAACAGGCTTGGAATTGAAGAGGGACTGAGCCATAGTCCAACTCCAAAACCAGCTCTACACATTTATAAAGAAGTGTTCAATAAAACATATATATATATATATATATATATATATATATATAAATCAATACTTACAATATGTATAGAATTTTATTGTTGATGTTTAGTGGGTCGTAACTATTTTCCATCCATCAGTAATTAAATATTCAGGGTCCCTTAAATTCTTT